GGACCAGAAGTGCCCTAAGCTGTCTGTCTGGATGTGCTTTCCAGACAGCATGCATGTGGAATTGTGCTTTTTGTTTTTTAAGAATGTAAAAAGTTACAGTCAGATGGAACCGCATGGCCCCAAGCTTCTGTGGTCTCTGCCTACATGTCCTGCCGTCTGCCTCAGTTCCCCAGAAGCTTCTCCTTTGGCCAAGAGGGCTTAGCCACCCCTTACCCCAGAGCCTGCAGGAAGAAGAGGTCTGCTGGAAGGCTGCCTGAGGGTGGAGGATCCTTGGTCAATTTAGCAGCTACCTTCCAGGGTTTGACTTGGGTTTGGATGCTGGCTTCTGTGTAAAACACATATACATGTAAATTGTACATCAAACTCGCCCAAGGCAGAGAGGAATTTTCCAGGCCCTAGTAGATCTCTAGGGAGTAAAAAATGGGAAATCTGCCTTCTTAAAGTGGTCCAGACTGGGACTTTCCCTTGGGNTAAATTTAATAACTTTGACCAACATTAGAAGAAAACAAAACAAAAACAATAGAATGGAAATAGTACACCACCCGTACAGTGCAGTTGTAAGAAACTTCACGTTCCATTTTACCATGTAATGTCATGAAGACCCCTGCTGTAGACAGAAGAGTGGGGAGGCTCGTGCATTTCAGTGGTTGTGGGGAGCGCAGGGGGCTGGAGGGTGATTTTGTAGATTGAGGTAGACGGGGCCCAGTATATATGTTGACCCATCAGTTACTTCTCAAGTCCAGGGCAAATCGAAGGAAAAGGATGATGCTGGGATGGGGACGTGGAGGGCAGAGGAAGCCTCAGGGGGGTTCCCATGATTATTATGGCGATTAAGGTGCTACTGAACAGGAGAGGCTTGCAAAGGCATTGTGGGCAGAAGCAATCGCCTGGAAGGAGCTTCCCCAGCTGACCCTGCAGGAAGGGCTCCTCCTGAAGCGATGGGGGCTACCTGGTCCCACACCCTCACGAAATGCCTCTTATAATGGTGACACCTTGCATTTGTGGAGTACTTTATCCTTTTCAGAGTTCCCAGCCTCTCCTTTACTTCAGGGAGGTGGGGGGATGGTATCATTATCCCATTTTAGAGATGGGGAAACTGAGGATCAGTGTGCGCTGAGTGATGGCCAGATCCAGAACTAAAATCCAGACCTCCTAGTTTCTAAATGGGCGCTCTTTCCACAACACAGTAGTGTGGTGCTCTGTGTTTACAGTGTAGGCTCAAGACCCTGGCTGCTCACTGGAGTCGCCAGAGCAATGTCAAAAAAATTCTAGTGCCTGTCTGAGTTCAGACCAATGGAGTCTGAGTCTTCATGGTGGGGCCTGGGCATCATGTCTTTTAACGCTGCCTTTGGAGAGTCTAGAGCACAGCCAGATTGGATCCATCTCCCAACTCCCCCAGCCTTGGCCCAGTCTGCCCACGAGATCCACTGGTGCCCTGGACTCAGATGAATGTCACTGTTGTTTTGTGGAGTAATCCCAAGTGGAGCTGCCACCCAGCCCAAGCCTGGAAGCTGAGGTCTCCAGGGCCCCCCTGAGAAGAGGTGTGAGCAGGAAGGCGGGGAGGCAGGCGGCTCTGACAGACAGAAAGCAAACAGCGCAAAGGGGTGGCAGGCTGCATTTATTCATCGTTCATTTAACCCCCTTCAAGTCCTCTGCTGGAGTGCTGCTCAAAAAAGTAAAGGTATTGGTTAAGAAGCCCCGCAGGCTTGCCCCACATGCTCTAACCGCCTCCTGAGGGGACAGGTAGCATAGAATAAGATTTGAAAAGCAAGGGGGAACTTCCTTAGGGAGCAGGGGGAGGGGGCAGAGGCTGGAAGAAAGGGGAAGAGGGTCTTGGGCCAGATTAGTGCAGAAATCTCATCTCTTCTCCTCAGTGCATGAGACTGGCTGGGCTCCTGGGCAAAGTGGCACTCAGGGGTGCGGGAGAGGCTGCAGGGCCAAGAGTCCAGGCCCTAAGTCTGTGCTACTGAGCCTGCCCTGGGGGTCATGAATGGCTTCAGTGGGACCTTTCTCTGCCCCTTCCCACCCCACAGCCTTCAGAGTCACTCGTGAGTTGTACAACCACCACGGCAACAAATAAACAAAGACTCTTCTGGACCAGAAGTGCCCTAAGCTGTCTGTCTGGATGTGCTTTCCAGACAGCATGCATGTGGAATTGTGCTTTTTGTTTTTTAAGAATGTAAAAAGTTACAGTCAGATGGAACCGCATGGCCCCAAGCTTCTGTGGTCTCTGCCTACATGTCCTGCCGTCTGCCTCAGTTCCCCAGAAGCTTCTCCTTTGGCCAAGAGGGCTTAGCCACCCCTTACCCCAGAGCCTGCAGGAAGAAGAGGTCTGCTGGAAGGCTGCCTGAGGGTGGAGGATCCTTGGTCAATTTAGCAGCTACCTTCCAGGGTTTGACTTGGGTTTGGATGCTGGCTTTTGTGTAAAACACATATACATGTAAATTGTACATCAAACTCGCCCAAGGCAGAGAGGAATTTTCCAGGCCCTAGTAGATCTCTAAGGATCCTTGGTCAATTTAGCAGCTACCTTCCAGGGTTTGACTTGGGTTTGGATGCTGGCTTCTGTGTAAAACACATATACATGTAAATTGTACATCAAACTCGCCCAAGGCAGAGAGGAATTTTCCAGGCCCTAGTAGATCTCTAAGGGAGTAAAAAATGGGAAATCTGCCTTCTTAAAGTGGTCCAGACTGGGACTTTCCCTTGGGGAAAAGGGCTCGTAGCTCTTTGTAAGACTGAGATGTGTGTGTGTGTATGCGTGAGGTATGCAAATATCCAAGGCTGTCTGGAATTTTCCATAAGCTTGGGGCCTGAGACTGCCTGGTCTGGTCTAGCCTCTGACTCCTTCACCAGGCCTGGAGGCTCTGGCTTTACTCAGAGGACATAGGGGCCTGACCACCTGGTCTTAGCAAGCAAGGACACCAAGGTGGCTCTTTTACCTGGCTGCTCAGCTCTCAGAAGGCCTGGCTTCATGCCAAGGCCCTGGCGTCTGTGTGGCCACAGCTGGGTGGCAAGGGCTTCTCAGAGCCCATGCCACTGTTATGGGACCCCCGCAGACCCAGCATGAGATGAGAGAGTGTGGGTCTGAGGTTAGGAAGCTGCTCCTGGAGGCTGAGAGAGTTGTAGACTGCAGAGAGCTACCAGCTGTGGGTCAAATTGGAGACCCCCACGACAATGGTGGGAGAGGACGAGGCATCTGAGGGAATGGAGTGCTTTCTTAGTCTGAGGTTCAGAAGAACCTGCATGAAAGAGAGGGAGGACCCAATCCCTGCTTCTCAATGCTTGCCCTCAAGCAGGACGTCAAACTGCATGTCCTTTAGGTATGAGTCTAATACTCCATTAAGTCCCCTGACCTTGGGAGCCCCAGCTTTTCAGGGAAGCAGCCCCTGGCATCTGCGCACTGATCTGTTGGGCCTGAGGTGCGGGACGATGATATAAGGGCTGAGATTGAGGCTGGGTGCTGGGGAGCAGGGAGACATGGGCAAAAATACATGTGTGCTGCTGGATCCTGAGCTACCATTGTAAATTGGAGGACCGGCATTCCTCTGGGAAGTTGGTGAGAGGGAAGAAGGGCCTCCCTTCCTTGCCCCCTGAAAGCATGCTTATGGTTCCTTTAGGAGATTGCCCAAGCTGCCCCCAACTGCCTCCTTCCAACGCCAAAGCATAGAAGAGAAGTGAAAACGGCTACGGCTGAAGTGTAGGAATTTAGGATGACTCCAGAAAGCACTGCTGACAGAGAAGACTGCCAAGGAGTTTTGAGACTTTCTTCTCTGGAGGCAGGTCCTAGTCCCTCCCAGGGAGATCGGATTCCGTGCAGTCCTGCGCGCTGGTTGGCTGGATCGCCTGGATGCCTCCCTAGGCCTTTCTCTAGCTCACCTGACAGAGAAGACTGCCAAGGAGTTTTGAGACTTTCTTCTCTGGAGGCAGGTCCTAGTCCCCCCCAGGGAGATCGGATTCCGTGCAGTCCTGCGCGCTGGTTGGCTGGATCGCCTGGATGCCTCCCTAGGCCTTTCTCTAGCTCATAGAGTCTTGGTGGTTGGGTCTTAGGCCTCCTGTGCTATTCCTGGGGCTCACTTCCTGTGGGTAGGCTGCTATTTTGCCTGTAGATGGAGTCCTCATCATCTAGATGCCTCTATCATGGATCTCTACTCCCCCCTCCAATGGCTCAGATCCCCAGCTTACTTCTTGTTGCCTAGGTGACACCTCTAATTGGATGCCTTTTAATGGTTCCTTCTTTTAAAGGGATAAACCTGGCACTTTTATTTCCAGGTCCCATCAGAGGCCCTGCCCTAGAGAATATGTGCATTCTCTTCAGTGTGAGCATAGCCATGGCTCAGATGGGAGGCTCCTGGGGCTGGCTTGACTGACAGTCACAGTGAATCCTGGAACTGCAGCTCTCTGAGGAGCTCACCCTTCAGGGCTTAGCAAAATTGACCTTCCTCCTGGCCAACCACCTCACTGGCTTCACCCCAGATTAAGGCCTGTGTTTAAAAATCAGTCACAACCCAAATTAGAAATTACCCAAAAGTAGCTGGAGAGTCACAGAGATCCCAGCTAATTTTTTCCTTCCTGCCATGAACTGGAAGGGGAAAGAGGAGTTTGACATTCAAGTATGACTCAGTGCTGTCTGCATGTTTGTGTGTGTATGTGTGTGCGCGTGTGTATTCCAGGCACATTTGCCAGGGAGGGAGATTTCACAGCATCGCTGGGCCTGGCGGTGAGGTGGCGCTTTTTTAAGACTTCCTATCAGAAGCTGTGTGGGTCACATTGTGCCTGCATAAACTCTGGCACTTGTCCTTGGAATCATCATCTCTTTAGATGAGAAAAATGGGCAGAAAGAATGTTCCTTCACAGCCTCAGACCCCATTCTTTCAATGAAGCCTGAGTATCTGGACTTCCTCCAGGTAAGGGACTCCCACGCTGCAGTGGGTTTCGGGGAGAACCTGTCCCTCACCTCAGCTTGAGGATCATCCAGAACAAAACCTTTTTTTTTTTCGGCTGGCCAGTACAGCAGAGCAAAAATTTCATTCTAGTATTACTTCCATCCATTGGTCTGTCCCCCTCCTGCCTTCCTCTACCTCCAATACTATGCATGGAGAAAACAAACTCATTTGATAAACAATATTTAGAATGGGATTCTGTCATTCCTGACTCCAATCACATTATGGGCTCTGAAGCCAAATGCCTGATACTTGCAGGATGGCGGCTTTGGGTTCCTGGTGCTACAGGCCCCGGTTCTCCAAGGATGTAGTCAGCAGGGCCCTGATTCAGAGGAGGAGAAGGGGTGACTGGGGAGCTGTGCTCTGCAGCCCCAGGCTGTCTAAAAGGGGAAAAAGTTGAACTGATGAATGGTACTTAAGAAAAAAAAATACACATCAAAAAGAAAGATCTTGGCTGAGAAGACTCAGATATTGCTGGTTAATAATGAAAAGCATTACTGCGGATGATGCTTGTGAAAGGAAGGAGGGTTGGGGAATTCAAGATGTGCTGGGGGAATCAAGATGTGCCAGGTGCCTCAGAGAGCATCCAGCTGAAGTCCAGCCGGGCTACTGCAGCCTGGGCTGCCCCTCTCTGGAGATCATCCTGGGCTTCCCGCCACTAAAAGTGGCTCCTGTGTGCTGTGCTAAGTGGACTAACTCCAGGCTGAGAAAGCTAAGCCCCTCACTATTGCAATTTCCAAATCTGGGGGAAATGCCACAGTCCGCAAGTTGGTGCTGTTTCACCTCATTGCATAATACTACACCAGTCTCTGTGTGTAGCGGCTGTTCTATATATACACATCAGGAGGCAACATATGGCTCTCCCCACCCCCACCTGTCAAAACTGTGACTATATCACTTCTGACGACCAGAAGGAAGCTGCTAGGCTGGGCCAGGATTCTAAATGCTCAGGAGGTAATTCAGAGCCATGAAAAGTTGCACCATATGCTTTGTTTGGGGTTGCTGGCTGCTTATGTGCATGGGGACAGGGTTGAGTGCCAGTCTGCAAAACCCAGGGACGGCATTTTCCTTGCTGGGGTATGCACCGGGTGGGGGTCTGGGATGTCACTTTTTCCTCCCTGGAGAACTGTCGGGGGCCACGGTTCGCCAAGACGGGGCTCACAAGGCAAACAGGCTCCCCCAAAACCTGCCCTTGATAACATCAGGCCTGGCCAAATAGTATTTCTTTAAAAAATTTTTTTGGTTTCATTTATTGGATAAAGAGTAAGAAAGCGCCAGCGTCTGAGAGAAGTGAAGCAAACCACGCCCGGAGGCCGGCCGCCCGGTGAGGGTCCCCGGCGCTGGCGTGCGGGGCGCGTCTACCTGGAGGCGCTGGTCTCGGCCAGCCGGTTGTTCATGATGCCCAGCGCGCCCACGCCGCCCGAGAAGCCGTTCTGGCGCGCGCTGGCGCACACGCCGCGCGGGTAGCCGTTGGCCGCCTCGGACAGCTGCTTCTGCAGCAGCGCCTGCGACACCTTGTTGGAGGCGGTGAGGTCGCGCATGGAGATGAGCTCCCCGGACAGG